ACCACCGTGTCCCACGGTTAGACAAGTGCTGGACGGACTCCAGGAGGCTGGGCTGACCATAAAGGCTGAGAAGTGCAAGGTGGAGATGGCTAAAGTATCCTACCTAGGTCACCGGGTGGGGAGCGGCTGCCTAAAGTCGGAACCAGCCAAAGTGGAGGTGATCAGAGACTGGCCTGCTCCACAAACCAAAAAGCAGGTCCAAGCCTTTATTGGGATGGCAGGGTACTATCGAAGGTTCGTGCCCCACTTTTAGCTGCCCCCATCACTGAGCTGTGCAAGAAGGGGAAGCCAGACAAAGTGGTCTGGACCGAGGAGTGCCAGGAGGCTCTCCGGGCGCTGAAGGAGGCTCTGGTCAGTGGCCCAGTTCTGACAAACCCAGACTTTGACAAGCCATTTATGGTGTTCACCGATGCCGCAGACATGGGACTGGGGGCGGTGTTAATGCAGGAGGATGAAAAGGGGGAGAGACACCCGATGGTGTACCTGAGTAAGAAGTTGCTACCCCAGGAGCAGAACTACGCGGCCATGGAGAAGGAATGCCTGGCCATGGTGTGGGCCCTCAAGAAACTAGAGCCATATCTCTTTGGGCGTCACTTCACCGTGCACACCGACCACTCTCCCCTGACCTGGCTGCACCAGATGAAAGGAGCCAACGCCAAGCTCCTGAGATGGAGCCGGCTCCTGCAGGATTATGACATGGACGTGGTCCATGTGAAGGGATGTGACAACCTGATAGCGGATGCGTTGTCCCGGAGAGGGAGCCCTGAACTTCCCCAGGTCACTGGTCAGAGTGACCCCGCTCAGTTCAGTCTCCAAGGGGAGGCGGGGAGATGTGACGGAGCAGGGAGTGGGGTGGGCTGACCTGGGAATGTCTCTAGTTTTACTGGGACTATCTGCATGGGGGGTGGGAGAGCAGGGGGTGACTTCACTTGAGGGATGATAGCTGTGCCTGCAACCTGAGCCGGGGTGGGGTGGGGCCAGGTGACACTATCTGCCTGGGAAATTGGACAAAGGCTGGAGGAGGAGCCGGGGGAGGCTGGAAGGAGACGGCTGGGGGGAGGGGTTCAGTTTGGAGCGGTCTGGGGAACTGGAGGGAGCCCGAGAGCTGGGGTCTGAGCTCCCCACCCCCCAAGATGGACCTGACTGAGGGGTCCTGTTGTCGGTACCTACAAGCTCTGTGTTGGACTGTGTTCCTGTCGTCTAATAAACCTCTGTGTTCCCGGCTGGCTGAGAGTCCCGGGGAATCGCAGGAAGTGGGGGGTGCAGGGCCCTGACTCCCCCACACTCAGTGACAGCTTCCCTCTACCCATCCCCCACCCCTCTACCCATCCCTCCCGTCCCTCCCCCTCTCTGTCCCATGCCCCTGAGCTCGGCTCCTGCCCTGCCCCCCATCCAGGCTCCAGGGGGGCTGTTTCACACATGGCTTATCCCACCCCTGTCATGCCCGTCCCAGTCCCTCCTCCCCTTCAGATCCGGGCTCCCCTCCCCACGTCCTGTGCCCCAAGCTGAAAGTGAAACCAAGCGTCCTCTGCTCCCAGCCGGCCTGGGGACCTGCTGGCTGGGCTCCCAGCCGACACCCCACACTGAGATCAGAGCCCACCCCAGTGCCCGACGCTGCACGGCCACAGAGGTAAAAAATTACCGGGTAAATCTCTGCCTGTAACTCCCACCTGCGCCCTGAACTCTTCCCTCCCTCCCTTGTCCTGCCCTACCGGCTCCTGTTCCGGGGGGTGGGGAGGGGCTGGGATCCAGGACTCCTGGGTTCTCTCCCCAGCTCTGGGAGGAGAATGGGGTCTGGTGGGTTAGAGCAGGGGGGGCTGGGACTCTGGGACCCAGGATGCCTGGGTTCTCAGGGAGGGGAGTGGGGTCTAACGGTTAGAGTATTTCCAAAAACTGAGATTCATCATTGCTCAGAGTCTCCCCATATCCCAGCTGGGAGGGATGTGTCTGGGGAAGTCAGTTTTTCTCTTCAGTTTGTTTGCACTTCTGAGTGTGCAAATAAAAGCGTGAATAGTGTCAGGAAGTGTGGGGGAGTCAGGGCCCTGCACCCCTCTTCCTGCGATTCACCGTGACTCTCAGCCAGCCAGTAAAACGGAAGGTTTATTAGACGACAGGAACACAGTCCAACACGGAGCTTGTGGGTACCGACAACAGGACCCCTCAGTCAGGTCCATCTTGGGGAGGCAGGAAGCCCAGACCCCAGTGCAGGGTCTCCCTCCATTTCCCCAGCCAGCTCCAAACTGAAACCCCCTCCAGCCATCTTCCCCCAGCTCCTCCTCCAGCCTTTGTCCAGTGTCCAGGGCAGACGGTTTCACCTGGCCCCAGCCCGCTCCTGGGCTCAGGTTACAGGCTCAGGTATCATCCCTCAAGTGAAGTCCCACCCTGATATCCCAGCACCAATGCAGACAGTACCTGCAAAATTCCCCCACAACATCCCCAGGCCGAGCCTCCTCACTCCCTGCTCCGTCACAAATGGACCCACCAGTGCCGCATGAACAGAGATTTCTCAGCAGGGTCTGGGCTCTGTCGGTGCATGTGAGACGTGGTGGCCCTATCTAAAGCAGCACGCCCAGGTAACTCCAAGCTGGTTTTCCCTTTGCAAAGCCCAGCGTGGTCAACTGCCACCCTTGGGGGGTGGGGTGGGGGAAGGGGGAAGCTCTCCAGGCCCCCACAATGCCCCACTTTAGTCGGTGGACAGGCTCCTGGTGAGGATGCCAATAGATGAACTGTGGACCTGAACTACCCCTTTAATTACTGCGGTGGCCGTATGTCAACTTAACTCAAGTCAACTTCATTTTGTAGTGTCGACTTGCCCTAAAACAGATGAATGGAAATTCTTTTTCAGTCAGCCGGTGGAACTCACCACCACAGGATGGCACTGGCGCCAAAAATGTAATAAGATTTGAAGAGGGACTGGACCTTATGATGGCTCGACGTGATCAGCTTTCTGGGAGAGGAAATCCCAGCTCCCAAAGGGCTCTTTAGTGGAGAAAAACGGATCAAGAACCAGTGGCTGTAAACTGATATATATATATATATATAAATCAGTCTTCTTACCCAAGAGCCCCTTAGCTCTACAGTTGTTCAGAAGAGGAGATGGAAGTACTTGGGATATTCTCTTAGAAATGGTCTGTTCTGTTTTGAAGCCTGCTCAGCTCCCAGCCTCAGTTCACCCTGTGACAATGAGTTCCACAGGCTGATCATGGAAAAACAATTTCCTTTGTCTTCAAACAAACCTTGCTTTCCTTTTTCTGGGCCCCTCCTCACCCCAGTTAGCTGCCGTTCCACAGGCCCATTCAAAGCTGTGTTAGAAAGTATCCCCTTTGATCTATGCAAGTGCTAATTCTCCTCCCCCTCCCCCCCGCCCCTTGTCTCTCCCCCTCAGTCCAACAGCTGTCTGGTTCAGAGTTGCCGTGCTGAGAAACGGGGCAGATTTGCCTTGGACAGGTCCAGTCGAAATGGCTTCCTGGGGAACAATCTGCTCTGAGCATCAGATGCCGTTACTCTGGTGCTGTGAGAAGGATAACGCAGAGGTTTGTGCCAAATGTATCGGGGGGGAAGGACCTAGACCCCATTGGGAGGCTGTGGGTAAAAACAGGAATTAAATCCAGCCACCATAAGCCGCTAATAAACTGATTTCAGAGCACACCCCGTTGACTACAGGGATTTAGGAACCAGTTGGCCATTTCCAGGAGTCAACTAGAGCAGCCCTGAGGGTCCCTGATAGGGTTTAAATGGAGGGATGGTCAAATATTGTCCAGTGAAATTTGAGTTTTTATGAAAATGAACCCAGTGTCCGCACCTCAAGTCCTTTTTTTTTTTTTAGAAAACTGAAAACATGGAAATGTTTTGGCTTTTGGGCGCCCCGTAGAGGGGAGAGGCTCCGTGTCCTATTCCCTGACCCCCCTGAGCCAGCCAGTTCCCGCCCTGGGGCTGGATCGGAGCCAGCACCCCCTAGAGGGGAATTCTCCACAAAACATTTTGATTTGAAACTAATCCGTTTCCATTTCTGTCAAAATTTTAAGCAGGGAAAAAAGAAACAAGTATCCCCTCCCCCCCATTTTAACCCTTTCATGGTTTAGCCCAAGATGGGGTACACACCATCGTTCCATGGCTGGAGGATGGAGGAGACAAGGGAGAGGCAGAGCGGGCATCCAGAGGGAAGCTGGGGTAGGAGACAGAGGGAGAGCCAGTGATTAGCATATTGAGAAATGAAATGAAATTTGCTGGAGTTAAATGTGTGGGGAGGTCAGGGCCCGGAGTGGGCTGGTAGACGCCGCTCTGAAGGTGCTGTCTTGTCGCCCAGCGTCTCAGTTCTTTCAAGAAGCAGAAGTAAGTTCCTAGTTGTTATGGCTGGGAAGGAAACATCACAAACGTGACCCATGCGTGTAGCTCGGGGAGGTGTGAACTGCCACAATACTCCCAGCGGAGGGTGAACTCAGATGCCCAGCAATTTATATGCCAACGTCACTCATGGTTTCCTTCCTCTTTTGAGCAAGGAGAGGGGTCTGGGGGCCCAGATGTGCATAATTTTACTACCAGCAATGTCTCATCTCCCCCCCCCCCCCAATCTGAGCCCTGGGAGCAAACAGAGAGGGTGAAATTGAACTTGGCATCTTTGTTAACGGGAGTCTCTCTTTTCTTCTCACCCCTCGGTGCCCATAGGTGCAAACTCAAGTGTTCGAGGATTCTTACCACATCAGAACCATCCTGGAGATGATGGACACCAAAGACCCCAGCGGGCTGAATCTTCCACCTTATCCTCCTGCCTTGTCCCACCTCATCTCCAAGAACAGACTTCTGGAGCCTTCAATGAATGCCGCACCCCAAGTCAGAAGTGGGAAGGGCAAACCTCCCACCCTAACAAATTATCCACCACAGCAGCCCACTGGTGTAAGTAGCTTTAAAATCATCTTATCTTCCTTTCTGTTCTCTTCTAGGCAGGTTCCTATGGTCCATCCCCGTGGTATCTAGGCCCCTTCCAGTCATGAGTGAAGCAGTATGACTCCGCCACATCTGCCCCATGTGCCTTGCTCTCTCCCCCTTTCCCCCAACCCATCCAATCCCCCATGCTTCTTGTCCCCTGACCACCCCCTCCCGGGACCCTCGCCCCCATCCAACTTCCTTGTCCCCTGACTGCCCCAACCCCAACCGCTGCCCCCTGACAGGCCCCCTGGGACTCCTACGCCTATCCAACCCCCCTGTTCCCCATTCCCTGACCGCCCCCCCAGAACCTCCACCCCATCCAACTGCCCACCTCCTCCCTGTCCCCTGACTGCCCCCCAGGATCCCCTACCCCTTATCCAACCCTACCGCTCCCCTCCCCCTTACCATGCCGCTCAGAGCGGCAGGACAGGCTTATTGGAAAGCCCGGGAGGTGGGCGGACGCAAGCCGCGCAATCCGGCAGGCTAGAGCATGGCCCACGCGGCAGCCTGGCTGTGGGAAGGGGGGACAGCGGGGGAGGGGCTGGGGGCTAGCCTCCCCAGCTGGGAGCTCAGGGGCCGGGCAGGATGTGGCCCGTGGGCCGTAGTTTGCCCACTTCTGCCTTAACATGTTTGAAGACTGTTATCTGGTTCCTCCCTCAATCCTCTTCTCTTTAGACTAAACCTGCCCAGTTATTTTAACCTTGCCTCACAGGTCAGGGTTTCTAAACCTCTGATCAGTTTGTTGCTCTCCTCTGGACTCTTTCCCATGTACCCACATCTTCCTTCAAGTACAAGTACGGGAAACAAATCAAGTGAATCCCTAACTCACCCTCATCTGAGGGCTTGTTGACATAGGGAGATGCTCTAGATTAAAGTGGATTAAGCCCCAGTGTACACTCTCTTAATTCAGATCCAAATTTTCAGTCAGCTCTACAATAAATTAATAAACCAGGCAGCCCTCTTACATCCCTGGCTGTCACCAGAAACCACACAAACTCTACACATAAGTGTAATTCACCCTTCAAACCAGGAGCTCTCCATGGGCAGTACCATGCATCTGACTCCAAATGGGTTTTCCCCAGCTAGCACTGAGTCCACCTCTCATCTGTAGACTGCTACTGTTGCTTTAGTATCCACTGGAGAAACTATTACTGTTTCCATGTGTACTGAGTAAGGTCTCTCTCCTTCAGGAGACTGGGTATATTTAAGACATGAGCCTAGAGAAAACCCCACTCTTAGGCTTGGTCTACACTAAACCCCCAAATCGAAGTAAGGTACGCAACTTCAGCTACGTGAATAACGTAGCTGAAGTCGACGTACCTTAGTTCGAACTTACCGTGGTCCACACCCGGCAGGCAGGCTCGCCCGTCGACTCCGCGTACTCCTCGCGGCGAGCAGGGTTACCGGAGTCGACGGGGAGCACTTCTGAGTTCGATTTATCCCGTCCAGACAAGACGTGATAAATCAAACCCAGAAGTTTGATTGCCTGCCGCCGAACCAGCGCGGTAAGTATAGACAAGCCCTTAAACATGCCCCTAAGCAGAGACTCAAGAAAAACCACAGTTGCTGTGTTTAATTTGGAGATGGCTACCCCATCTGGACTCCACGCCTTCCAGATTAGGGTGCCCTGCTGGATAACTCCCCACCCCTGTGTTTTCCCTCTTAACCACCCCCTTTGCCTGTTCCTGCAATTAACTGGCAAATCCATCGCCACTGGTGAGCGCGGCATGTGGGGAAACTCCGGATCGTGCAGCTTTGGGCACTCTAAGGCACTCTTGGGGCATATATGCAAATCAGTCCTGATAATAGGCAGAGAGCTCCTCCATTTCCCCATTCACCCACAGGGGGAGCTAGAGAGCAGCACTTGCTAATGAGCCAGGCCCGGGTCAGAGCACACCTTCCATGCTCCAGTTTCCCTAGAGAGGGACATGAATTGCTTTTCATTCCCGTGAAGTCCAAGGCTCAGATTCCTCTGTGTGACAGCACCCAGATTAACACCCTCACTCCCTTCTGCAGGTGTATGACATGTCAAGAGCCCGGCTGGCCCTGACCCTCTGCGTGCTGAAAGATCGTCTGGGTGCGGAGAAGGACCTTGAGGCACTGGGGAAGATGTTTAAAGCTTTAGGGTTTGAGAATGAGGTGGTCAAGGATCCGTCAGCAGAGGTAAGCAGCTTTAATTTGCAGTGTACAGAGCAGAGGGGTCCAATTCATGGGAGATGGTGCAAAGAAGAAACTGGACTTAAATGCTGATTGCAGATGGCAGGTTCCAGTTACCGTGTCCCATCATTCATAAATAAACCTGGATCAACACAAGCCCTCTGTGACTTACTGAGAAGAACAACCCCTCAACTCAGGGGACACTAGCTAAAGGATCTCCACCGTTCCACACAGCCACCAGAGGGAGCCTCTGACAACCAAGCTCCCTGAGTCTCAGCACAGACTAGAGCAGCCTTGGGGTGGCTCTATCTTGCACCAGCTGACAACTCACCTACGGAGGTGGTGGATTCCCCATCACCTGGTGTCTTTAAATCAAGATTGGATTCTCGTTCTAAAAGCTCCACTTTAGCTCAATCTGAAGTTAGGGGCTTGATGAAGGAAGCACAGGATAAAATTCTCTGGCCCGTGCTATGTGATCATGTCATTAAAGACTGTATCATAATGCATACGCACAAAGGGGCTGAGTTAAGGTTGCACCGGAAACCTTAATTCTGGCATTTCCTAACTTTTGAGTGCTTGGTTTTGCACTCTGAATAATGTTCTATAAACAAAGGGGGTTTGGTATAGAATTTCCAGGGGGGTTTGCTAAGAAAAAGCCCAACACAAATTCTCTTATGTGTAATTGTGTTCCCCCGCTGTATATCAAAGTGCTTAAGCATTCTTGTTATGCTGCAAAGTGCTATAATAGCAGGCAGGTCATTGATGGGAAGACACACAGACCTTGGTAAAGGTGCCCATCACCCTCCTTCAGGCTCCATGGAAGGAGCAATTAAGCCTCTGTATGTAGCGAGATAGCAGGGAACAACAGAAACCACCGCCCAAGGCACTGGGCTGCATGGCCAAGTCTGAGCAAAGCCGACTCAGGTAGATTAATGGCATTTCCTTGATAGCAATTGAAGTGCCTACTAGAACCTGGCAACCTGACGGGACCTGACTGCAATTGTCAAGTTTGGATTGTGTCTAAAAACAACCCGACACTTTTGGGCTTGGGTCGGGTAGTTGTGAATCACCTCCCCCTGCCCGTAGGGTCAGCGCAGTGGTGGCATGTCCCATTCCTGCCGACATGCTGACAAGTCGCAGCTCCTATCACGCCACATTGCACACAACACAGCGAGGTGATAGCTGCCAGTGCACCAACCACACTGGGCAGGCGGTGGCAGGAGACAGATTGTGGCTCACAGGGCATGGGAGGCCCCAGCCAAACTGAGCCCCAAGAATGAGGTGTCAGCGCTAATGCAGGTTTGGGGGGAATGGCCCAGAGGGAGGGAGGGCGGGCCTGACTGCCGTTGGATGCGCAGTGCTTGGCCACGTGGGAGTTAGCTCCGGTGCCTCTGTGGAGAAACAAAATAAATAAAACCGAGTCTAGGCCAGAAGCCAGACCTTTGCAACCCAACCTGAAACCCATGGGACATGATTGCAAGTATCGCATTCAGCTCGGGTATGAAAACAATCTGAAATGCTCGGGTGTGGGTTGGGTTCGAACTGGCTATGGTCTAGATGTGTTTGGTGAGACTACCATGTTAGGCCTGAGCAAACCTCTAGAGGTTAGGGTATCGGTTGCATCTGTAACTGTGTTAGAGGAAGAAAGCCTAGAATAGCAGTGGTGAAACTTGAGAGGAAGCAGAGAGATGGCGCTCTTTGGGCACAGAACCCACTGGAGGGGCAGGCGTGGGAATTTTTGAGCTAGGAAGCTGCCTGCTGTTAGTTTCTGCTGCATTCATGGAAACAGGACTCTGCACATTCTTTATAAATAAACAAGATTTCACCAAAAAATAGATCTGGACTCATATCACCAAATTCTCCTATAGGAAATGGCACAGCAAAGTCCCAAATCTTGGTAAACTACTCAGGTCAAAGGGCAATATTTTGACAGTCTTTAATGACAAGTTCCCACACTATTTTTTTCCACAGAACCCCTGCCTCATTTAGTGCACTGGATGGATCACAAGAGGACCAAATTAAGGTTTCACAGGCAACTGTAATTCTGTCAAGAGACTGACTTCACAACCTAAATAGTGTTCTTTTAATGTAGGCTTTTGTGTGTGTAACCTGCCCAGTTTATCTCCAAAAGAGGCTGCATAAATGTTACATTTATCTAAACGGAGATGGAAGATTCCCCCATACAGCGTACCGGGGGCCTCACCATTTTTTGGTTGCAGGATTTTAAGAGGAAGCTGGTGACATTTCGAGAGGCAATAGATGCCAGAAAGGACCTGGTTAGCTGCAGCTTTATCATCCTCATGGCGCATGGGAACAGTGGATTTGTCAAGGCGAGTGATGGACGACACGTGAAGCTGGAGGAGCTCTTCGCAGAGATGACCAATGAGACGTGCCGAGCTCTGCGGGGCAAACCCAAGGTGTTTGTGATCCAGGCCTGCCGGGGGGGTGAGTCTCAGAGATGTTGGTGATTGTCAGGTTGGCGGAGTTTGCCGGTGAGTGGAGCCCGATGGAGGGAAAAGCCACCCATGAGTGTAGATATGGAACTAGGCCCCGGGTGTTTGGGAGAGACAGTGACCGCAGTTATTCAGAACCCCGCCGTGCCCAGGCGGTTTCCTCATGTCCTTACAGTTGTGTAGAGAGCAAAGCTGTAACAGAACAAAAGAAACACACAACACCGCAAACAGGGGGATTGTGCTATTGAGGGTGACAGGAAGCTCAGCTCCTGGGGCACAAGCGTTGTCTGATAGCACTGCTGTGATCCCGTTACTTTAGATAAGAAAGACAAAGGCGTTCTCGTGAAGGACTCCGATGTAAGTGACTTCTCTGCCACCAGATCTTTCTCGACTAGCTCTGTTCGTAACGATCAGGATGTCATGAAGCTGATCCCGACGCACAGCGACAGCCTCTTCATCTATTCATCCGCCCCAGGTAGCAGAGCTCCCTTTCTGGCTTCCTCATGCAGTCCCCGACCGCTGAGGCTGTGTGTATGTCCACTGGTATTTCTGTGCTGGGGCGGCTGTCAGGAAACACTCGCCCCCCATTCAAATATGAAACCAGAATCAATCAGACAATGTTTTTTTCCCCACCTGCAAAAAACTGAAATGTTTTGATTCAGAAATGCTGTAGTTGTCTCCTCTATGGGTTGGGCTCACTGGCTGGACTCTTGGAGGTGCATCATGGGAGTCCCTGACCATGGTGCATCATGGGAGATGTAGTCTGCCTGGGGAGAACAGCCTGTAGGGAAAATGGGGGGATACGCAAAGAATGAATTATGATTTCCAGAGGCTCGTCACCCCCAAATTTGCCTTGGGAAACTAACACTATGTGTGTTTATGTGAAGAGCGCCTAGCTGAAAACCTGAGTTCCTTTGAAAACACAGTTACAACAGAAAATTTTCCACTACCCCTGTATGAAACCTACATCCCTGTGGCCAGAAAAGGGATTTCATATGAACGGCTCGTTCTCCTTTTCTGCTCCGACCGCTTCAGTTACTGTCTTTTTCTGCCGATGGCCCCCAGCAAAGCCGATGTCAGGATGCGTTCTGTTCTCGCCCTTTACATTTCATCCGCCTGCTGCTAACTGTGTCGGTTCATTTACAGACTCGCTGAGGCAGAGTTCCGGACCGTCGGCATTTGATCCCAATCTATAAGTACCCATCACGGGGAGCAGTAATTTGATAATGGGCCCTTCAATCTAGCAGACAAAGGTTTAACAGGATCCAGTGGCTGGAAGTTGCAGCTTGACCAATTCAGACTGGAAATCAGGTGTAAATGTTTGAGAATGAGAGTAATTAACTGCTGGAACCATTGAGCACGTGCTGCGGTGGACTGGCCATCGCTGGCTGGGATGTTTTGCTGGCAGATCTGCGCTGGTTCAAACAGGGATTAGTTTGGGGACGTTTTGTGGCCAGTGCGATGCAGCAGGTCAGACTCGATTATCACAATGGGCCCTTCTGCAATTATAATCGATCGGTCTGTGATGCCGGCACCCTGTGGCGTTAGCTCCAGTCTGACACTGTGGTCCTGTCCTGAAGGACATCGGGAGTTCTCAACCCAGCGCTGGCCCTGGCTCCAGAAGGAGGCACTGCTCTGATAGCTTCCTAGATGTTCATGGCTAGAAGGGACCATCACACCCTCTAGTCTGACCTCCTGTATGCACAGGATGGAGAACTTCACTCACCTCCCTGTGCACTGAGCCCAATAACTCGGATTGCACTAAAACACCTTCCTGTGAGGCCTCCAGTGTGGCTCTGAAGCCGTCTAGAGACGGAGAACCCACCACTGCCCTGGGGAGTTGGGTCCAATGCTTAATCACCTGCCCTGGTGAAATCGGTACCTTATTTCTGATTTGAATTTATCCAGCTCTAACTTCCAGCCATTGGGTTTTGTTCTGCCTTTCTCTGAAAAGCCCTTAGGACCTGGGGTTCACCCTGTGATCCAGTCTTGCCAGGGGCACACGGGGAGTCCTCCGGCTGCCATCTCCCTATGTCTTCTGCTGCTAGAACTGGACTGCCCCTACCACAGCTCCAGCTGTGGTCCCATAAATGGTTCTCTGACTTACTTGCTGTTTACCAGGGTACGTCTCCTATCGAAATATCCAGAGTGGCACCTGGCTGATTCAGAGCTTGGTGGAAGTGTTCACCAGATCTCAAGGTTTGCACATACTGGAGTTAATGACCGAGGTAAGTGACAATGAAACACGTTCCTCCAAGAGCCATATCTGGTGTCTCCACCCATCTCCTCTGTCTGTGCATATCAGGGTATCTCAGGGCAAGTCTACACTACAAAATTAAGTCGACGTAGGTTACACTGATGTATAGCCACTGCAGCAATTGAATCGGTTTTACACGTCCACTCTTCGCTCCTTGTGTTGGCAGTGCGCGTCCTCACCAGGTTTAACAGCCAGGGCAGGGCATTGTGGGACAGGTTCTGAAAGGCAGCAACAGGCGATGTAAGCCATGCGGTGTCCTCATTGACACTGCGTTGCTCTAACTACTTCAGGGATCCTAATCATGAGAAAGCAAGAGCTGGTGGGGAACAGGAATTTCCATCCCGTGAATTGGGACAAAGCCGAAATGTTGCAATTTTCGTGAAATGAAACATGTCGGTTTGGAATCATCCCCCCTGCAAGTTCCATGAAAGCCCCCTTTCCATCCCCCTCCCCTCCACATCACGGGCTCTGTGTGAGCCCCTGTTCCCCCCCAGACCTGGGGAATGGAGTGCAGAGCACACACATGCAATTTGCAGATGACCCCAAGTGGGGAGGGATTGCCAGCACTTTGCAGGACAGGATTAGAATTCCAAATGGTCAGTTGGAGAATTGGTCTGCAATTAACAAGATGATATTCAATAAAGACCAGTGCAAAGGACAACACTTAGGAAGGAAACATCAGACGCACCCCTACCAAATGGGGACTAACTGGCTGGGTGGTCGTGCTGCTGAAAAGGATCTGGGGGGTTTCATGGATTACAAAGTGAACATGAGCCAACAATGGGATGCGGTTGGGAAAAAGGCTGGGGTTTGTTAACAGGAGCGTTGTACGTAAAACACGGGAGGTAATTGTTCCACTGGTGAACTGGGTCCACCTCTGGGCACCTCACTTTAGGAAAGATGTGGGCAAAGTGGAGTGAGTCCAGAGGTCAGCAACAAAAATTCCCAGAGGTTTAGAAAACAGGACCTGTAAGGAAAGGCTGAAAGAACTTGGCATTTCTTGACAAGAGGATGTGGAAAAAGCTAACATACTCAATGCTTTTTTTGCCTCTGTCTTCACAAACAAGGTCAGCTCCCAGACTGCTGCCCTGGGCAGCACAGTATGGGGAGGAGGTGACCAGCCCTCTGTGGAGAAAGAAGTGGTTCAGGACTATTTAGAAAAGCTGGACGAGCACAAGTCCATGGGGCCGGATGCGCTGCATCCGAGGTG